ATATTAATGCGTGATAAAAAGCTTGAAAGTGAAATGTCAGTGATTAATTAAACTCAGAAAATGAAAGCACTACAAGATTTCTACTATTACGCCATATATTTAAAACTGGCAAGCAAATGTAAATTAAAATGTAAACAACGCACGCTCACATGCATGAAGATTAAGCGTCACAAGAGCAATAGCAGCTCAATGGTCCATTTTCGAAACCCCTCCCTCAGTGGCTGCCCGGATGTGCACTTGTGAAATATGCCTCCGGTACTTCTCAATTTTAACCGGAGCGCACCGGATCCCTAAATAAGAGGAGCTCTGGAACTTCTTTTTTATAAATCTGAACCACAATTTAAAAGGAAAAAATTAGAATTCCTAACGTTTTAGTTTAACAATAAGCAGACTTTGCAATTCTCTATTTCCCTAGAAATACGAACTCATGAGAACATGAGACGTTCAAGTAAAGTCCCCTCACTCACATTTAAGAAGGGCAATAAATTTGGGGAAGTTTATTTAGGAACGCGTAAATTTCTTTACCATGCCATCGTATCTAGTGCATTGTTATCAATGCTTAAAGTTAGTTATTTTTGTGTTCTTAAACTTGCGTTAAGAGACAGCGAGTACAATAAGAGTGAAATACTGAGATAAACTGCTCAAGCACGTTCTATACGTCGTCTTCCCACAGTATCCACTAATGGGGGGAAAGCGTAATCCATTCATCCTGAGGAGTCAGATCAGGACTCATTTTACCACTGACACATTATCTGCTTGATGGCTATAATTATATCAGCAGAGAGCCGCGGTCAAAGAAAACGTTCTCTCTCACTAATATTGCCCTCATTTTTTGTTTCCACTCGCTAATACCCTCATTCTGTTTCGCTCTGGAATTTTCGTCAGTTATATTTTAAGTCTATTTAATTTTTGTGATGATAAAAGAACTTCCACCACCCCACTCTACGATTACATCTTAAATTGGGCCGGAGCCCACCAAATCTCGGTTCCGGTGTTTCTTAGTTTTTGTAATAAATCATAATTGTAGCCGGAACGCACCGGAGCGAAATTTTATCTCGAAAATTTTATTTTAACAATAAAATTATATTAAAAATAGCTTATTAAATTTCAATTTAGCTCTTTACGTTTTATTTAATTACTTCAATCTTTAGTTATTTCAATAAATGATAATTAATTATCTAATAATTATCAATTAAATTATAATTAATTCTATAATAATTATTGATTAAATAACAATTTAATAACATTAATTAATTGCCTATTCATTAATTTTATAATAATTAACTATTTAATTTTAAAATTATTAATGCGTTTAATAGTCATTTTATTTATTTACTCTTGTTCCTCTTTGCTGACAGTCTTCCATAGGGTTCCGGTACTTCTAATCTTAGAAATTAAGCCCTGAATGCGTTGCTATTTCCTAAGAGGCGTTGCTATGGAGACGAGGCGCCTCGAAGCTATCACTCAACTCGTTCACTGAACCCTCCCACCTGAACGAAGTCACTATTCTTTCAGCTTCACTCGGTCACTCTCTTTGTCTCATAATAGGGCAATTATTATTTCTTTCAACCATAAGCGGCTGTAAGCACCTCTTTGTTCCCTGCTAAAAAAAGGGTTCTTGTGCCCAGATATTTTATTTAAACTCAGTCTCTTTAAGAGAATTTCTTTAATTTATTACTATCATATCATAACACTTAAAGCTAAAGCTATTAATTCATTTATCTCATGTTTCTCCTCAGAGGCAGTTCTGGCCCTGTGTCTTTAACTCGCCTAACGAGCTCCCCGCTCCCTTCCCTCCCCAGACCCGAATCACTTGCGACATGAATGACCTTTCGCGAGTGGTTCCTTTCTCATGTTGTTAACACCACAAGATCATTGATCAAGGAAATATCGAATCTTTTCAAAATTTATGATGTGACACTTCAAAATTGATTCTGGCCCTTTATACGATCTCAAAATTACTAAATTAATTAAGTCCTTCAGTGTTTTTGCCTTTTTTCACTCTGGAAGGCAGTTTACCTTTTGTTATTTTGACAATTAATTCGACACTAAATTTTACCTTTTTGCCGATCCCTCTTTTTGATGATAATAATTTAATCCTTAATGATGTGGAGATAAAGGCATGAAGCCATGAAGTCTATGAGCCTCATAATTGAACCCTTCCTTGAAAATCCGACAGACAAAGTAGACAGATGTCTTGTTTTGCACCCGCTAAGTCTTTCTGCACCGATGGGCGAAAAATCAAGCATAGGTGCGAAGGAAAGGTATATAGAAAGGGGGGCAATTTCGTATTTGAGGAGAGTAAAAAGGAACTTCGTACATTTTTTACGAGTTCAAAAGGCCAGAAAGAAAAGATGGGACAAAATAAAATTTAAAATAAATGGCTCGAAAATAATAGAGGGGAAAAAGGGCTTATGGAAAGAAAATGAAAAGAAGTAGAAATATCCTAAAATACGATTCTGTCCATGAGTCTAGTTAAGGAAATCATCTGCAAAAATTAGTATCTTTAAGAAGCAAACTTTAGCCAAGTTTAATAAAAAAAAAATAAATGAATGAATTCCTACATGGTAATGTGTATGCCCTTATCTTGAGACCTGACTAGAAAAGACATATATCATCGCAGAGATGTACATAATATTTTAACTAAAGTAACATTAAATATTATCGTTCCAAAAAAATTCATGTATATTTCAGAAAAACAGTAATTGACAAAATCATAAATCCATACACAGTGTGAGAGCATTTCAGCAAAAATAAATTATACAGTTTATTTTTCTTAAATATTAGTTAAATATAAAATTAATTTATTAATTTAACCGTTGTAATTAATTATAGTACAAGTATAACAAATTCCGTCACACTGTATTTTTATTTGCTCATAATTCTAAGTTTGAGACCTGAAAAAAAAAAGTCGGGGATCTTAGTTACAAAAATCACAATCTATACTCATCGATGGTCAAGAGATCCCCATTTGAAATCTCTCTCCACACTAATAATATTCAAGTCACTTAACTGCATAAAAAATATATAAGAAGGATGTGTGGAAATATTTTTAAGGATATTAGAAGTTTTTTAATTTTAGCAGGGTAGATTTGTAAGCACACATATTACACGAAAAACCTAAATTTTCTAAACCTTTTATTATTTTCACAATATGTCCATGCAAAAATTGTGCTGATAATGATTTGACTGGGACGATACTTATAACATCTTTATATGAAGACCTAATACTCTGCAGCATAAAAACACAAGCAAAATTAGCAGCGTTTTCACAATTATATTTTGCTACATTCCTATTATATTTTCACCTTTGAAATCTAAGAATGGTTTAATGTGAATTTCGTCAACAATTAAAGTGACATATTATCGTTTTCGTCTAAAAAGCGGATTTTTTTTCCTTAGCATAATTCAGGAAATTTTCAGGAGTTTGCTGCACTTTAGATCAACATTATATTCAGAATACAATCTTTTCAATGTAGAAGGATGTGGCAAAGTAACATATGCACTGTTTCTTAAAAATTTATAGCAATGTGGAGAAATTGAAAACATCAAACTTGATAATATTAACAGATCAGAACTATACCTATTATTATTTTTATGCGAAACGAGTAATGTCAGCTGCTCAAATATAAACTGAACTACTTTCTTTTTATGTTCAGGGACATTTTTTTCTAATTCACGAAGGCCTTGATTTACGAATAATAAAATTTTAAAGCTGTTTTCATTATTATCACCTTTAATTTTTGCAACTTCTTTCAGCTATGAACAGAGATTATGCACATCATTAATTTTTAAAGGGAATTCACGGTTACTAATTTTTGTTAATGGAATATCTCTAAAATATGCTTCCACTTGCAGATAATCATGGATAACGACTGATGCAGAAATAAAAGGAGCAAATTCTGTGCTTATCTGGAGAAAAAATATACTATTTTCTTTAATCACAACTGTTAAATCATCAGGTATCTTAACATTTTTTAGGCATGATGAAAGTAGGATTATTTAAAGTAATAAAAGTAGGATTTCTAGTAATGCAATTTATATTTTAACAAAACAGGTAATAGCAAGCATATGTGTGTTTGTCTCCCACTCGGGAGGTGGGGGGGGAGAAAAGGATTCTTAGTGACATAAGTTTTAATAATATTTGAATTTTCATGTATTAGGAATTTAAATTATTTCTTGTTTTACGCAAAACTGTGCACTTAATATTACAATTTAAAAAACCATAAGCATATTTATTGCCTTCACAGTTTCTATAGAAAAACTTTTAATACCAAAATATATTAAATATTAAGCTAAATAATTTCATTTGCTGACATATACGTATGAAGTTAAAAGTTCCAAGTTATAAAACTAATCAAAAAGCAAAAAATTGGACATTTAAAAAAAGTAAGTGAATATTTAGCATACAATTCGATACATAATTATTAACCATACAATTCGATACGTAATTACACAATATTATACACAATGTATTCTATAAAAATGAAATTCCTTAATATTAAGGTATCCATTCTTTTAAATGTAGAAGCAAATACCTTAATAAATTTCAATTTCAAGTTAGGCTTAACTTACCCAAGAATACTTCGAAATAGCAAAATTTTCTCGCGGTATCGATTTTAACCATCTATGTAATACATCTATGTTGCTCAGGAAATCTATATATTGATACTTTAGAACCGTCACAATAATTTTCTCGGCATAACGAAAGGAATGATTGAAATCGAAAAAAAAATACCAATATCAAATTAAGGAGATTTGGTTCACGCGCCTTCTCCCGACCAAGGACGAAATTCCCCTAACTTGCTAATGCCATCTAGATGGCCTTCGTTTAGGGGCGATTTTTCGCACCACATCGAGAAGGCCAACAGTTTGTGACGTCACTAAGCTACGAGCCTTCAGTAGGGAGGCTTGTGTTTAAGAAGGTGTTGACTCTTCCCATTTCTTTTTTCTGTGCTCTCTACTTGGCTTCCCTCATATGGCAACCACAGTCACGTTGATGATGTTGCTTTGTTTACGTTTTTGTTTACAAAAGTAGTTTAGAGACTTGCTCAGTTATCCATGTTTTGATAGATATTATACATTCATTGTATATTTTTAACCTATACATTTATGATAGAATGTTTACTAATTATCTGCTGTACACATATTATGACGGATAGTATATTTTCAACATTTTTGCCAAAATAATGAACATCAAATCTGAAATGGTATCATCGTCTATGTGGAACATGGATCACGAAACAATCCTGAAATACCTCAGTGAAATAACTGAACTTTTAGCTGAATATTCATGGATATATAATGTGCGAAATACGGACATTTTTCTGCATGATGTTTTAGAAAAGATTCCCAGTGAAGTAATTTATGTATATAATATATAATGTGTTTGTAGCTTCCGAAGCTACGTATTTTTGTCCGACTTTAAATTTAATAATGACATTGTTTTGTTGTTTCTTTTCTAGTCGGTTAAGTTCTGCCTTAGAATGTGTATTTATGTGTGTTTGTAATAATACCAAAAAGAATTATATATGCATCTGTGACTTACTGACCTGAAAAGATGGCTTCACATATAAAACAGTTTGCATTTTCTTAACGTACTTTATAAGAGGGAAAGGAAAGGCAATGCTGTTGGTTCACTGATATAAAAGTCTGAATCTGGAAGTAATATTAAAAGATTAGATCTCTTCTTCTTTTCTCTGTAAATTTAAAGAGGTATATAATTCATTGTATGGCTATACTTTTTTATCCATACAAAAACTCTATCCATCTCAAAATGAGATGGATTCGTATTTTTACAAATATGAGATGGATAGAGTTTTTAGAAGCAAATTCAAGGCTAAGAATATCTTGCATTTAAGCTAGTGCAATATCTATATGCATTCTTTTCAGATCCTTATAATAATACTCATATTTATTTCATAATTCACAATCATGTACTTTCTGCTGATAATAATACAGAAATGCCTTAGAAAATAGGTTTTTAGCTGTGATTTTGTCGTAAAATTATGTAATTTATTAACCTAAATCAGTTATAAGGTATTTCGGTTGATCTTTACATTATGGTAACTTGGCGTTTTTTTGGCGAAAATTTCGCGACCAACTCTGCTACAGCAACCCTCTATTTTTTTTTCCCGCCGCCATTTTGTCTTCACGAAGTAAAGACATGTTTCTTTTCTTTTATCTACTGAACACTTCTTCCAACAATCTACTAGCCGAATTACACTTATGCTAGAAATTTTATCTAACAAAACTGCTTAATCATGACAAATATTCACTGCAAAATTGGGAAAAAGTGCACAATACCATACTCCTTACGCGTTTTTCAAAATAACACATACACATAAACCATGTACACGCCAACTTATTTTTACTTAAAAAAAACATCCCAGAATTGCACAAAAATGGCATTGCGCACACTCTTCACTATATCCATGTACACTGCTTTTTTCTCATAAATTAGAAAAATTTCATGAAAATACATGACAATTTTCTCAATCTTTAAACCCGGTAAAAATAACATATATGAAATTACCTGATCGCGAAAAAGTAATGAACATTTCCACATATAAAATAAATAAAATATCCAAAAACTTTTACCTCTAAATCATCTATATTACATTATACACGTCACCAACGAATTCATACCGCAACCATTACAAATACTTAGTGTCAGATATTTAAATTATTTCCATGCACGTTTACTTCAACTAAAACGTATACCAAATTCCTACAAACATAAAATTTACAAAATAACTATCATTTAATTAAAATATAATTAAATTCAAAAACACTACTTAAAATATAAATGAGCACATACATTAAATTAATGCATACATAAATACCCATTTCGAATTCACTTTAGTTACGGCCATGGGATCCAAAAATTCACGAACACTGTTTCACACAACACAACAAGCCAAATACAAAATTTCCAGATTTTTTCCCGATTTCCCCCCTTTTCCGATTAAAGAACCGTAATTCGTCCATTAATATCACATGACATATCCCATGATCTCTCATTTCCCTCACACAAAATAATGTGTAATCGGAACTGAGTACTGCTCACATTATTACCAAAGTCCCAGGTATTAACCTTTATCGCCTCCAAAATGTCGCCAAACTACCAGTTACCATATTGTAAAGATCAACCGGTATTTCTCCCACTTCCCTAGCGTGCCTTCGTGGTGTAATGGTAGCACACTGGGTCGGTATTCCAGAGGTCCGTGGTTCGATTTCCGGCGAAGGCGGTTGCATATTTTTCATCTTTTCTGCGTCCAAAAAAAAAAAACCTAATGAAACACAATGACACAGTGAAGCTTTTAATCACTGCCAGAGTTATTCTTGAAATTGTATCTGTAGTTTTTAATAGAATTTTTTCCTGCTGATTTTCGTTTAGCTTTTCTATTACTCCATTTTAATTCAGTGTCATTCAGTACATTTATTAAACATTCAAGATAAATGAGCATACATTTATCGATTGAGAATACACAAAACTTCAGCCTGTTAGAAGAAAAAGAAAAACTATGTAATTTTGTATTAAAATACTTATTATTGCATTATTATTAATGGGGAAAGTGCAGAATCACCCACTGCTTGCCATGTTTTTAAGAATTGCCCAAACTCGTTATCCATGTACACATCAACCTATTTTCACTTAAAAAAACATCCCAGAATTGCTCAAAAATGGCATTGTGCACTCCCTTGACTTTATCCATGTACACACCAACCTGTTTTCACTTAAGTCAAAGAAAATTGATAAAAATCCAATTCTTCTTATTCGTAAAACGCACCAAACAAATAAGTAGGTGATTCTGCACTTTACCCTTATTAACTTCAAATACTTTCTTTTAGAAAAGATATGAAAAACTGACAGTGACTGTCCAAAAGATCCTGTCACTGTGAGGTATAATGTTATTTTGTAAAAGAAGATTTTTTTTTTTTTTTTAAAAAAAATCTGAACTATGTTCAGCAACAGAAGTTTTGCCTAATAACTTATTATTGAATTTCATATTAGCATAACTCTCCATCAATTAAACTAATTTTATAAATGGAAGTGTCAAAGAAGATATTTTTATACTATTTCATTTGTTTCTTTTATTAAATGTATTTAAGATTAAATAAGACTGGTAAATTAGTTCAAGCGATTCTAGTAGCATTCTTAACACATTGTGAAAGATTATAATTTATTAATTACATTGTAAGGAATTTCTCCTTCCTTGCTGTTTATTCTCATGGTGCAACTGGAAGCATGTCTGACTAACATCAGGAGGTCTGAAGTATTTCAGATTTTCAAGTGCTTCAAATTCTGCAAGAGCATTGTTGATTTTTCATGTTTCCTGTCTTATATTTAGTACTTTTTTTTTAAGTACTAAATACGCTACAGGTGCTACCCGAATTAAAATGTGGTGATGATAACTCATCTCCACCTGGGGTTTAGCAGCTGAGTCTGCTCCCTCCACATTTGCCATTTAAGTAGGTGAGAATTAAGAATTTTCTCCTTCTTTCCCATATGCCTTCATTGAATAATTAGAAGCACATTCAACTAACATCTGGAATTCCAGAATTCAAATTTGATTCTTCATATTTCCCATCTTTAAAAAGATTGCATATCTTTGTACAAGTAGCATGCAGCCTAAAAGTAGTGGGTGATAATTTATCACCTCCCAGGATTTGGTGACTGGGTCCCCTCAATCTCCTTTTAAATAATAGAAATCAACCTTTTAAATAGGAGATAATGTAAGAAATTTTTTTCTTCCTTGCTGGCATAGTAAAGCTTAACTAAATAAACTTCAAAGAAGAGATATGTCGTAGTTTCTTGAAATACAGAGAAAGCATTTTTTTATGAAGTAGTGAATGAATTAGAAGCAAAGCAATATTTAGAATATTGCAGAGGATTCTGTGTATTTAAAAGTATATAAGGAGGAAAATATGTGTGGCTTAATTTCTATAGAAGATAGTTTAAAAAAAATTTAATACGTCATTGATACAACACCGTTTTGTAGCCTTTCAAAGTGCAGCCAAATTTTATTAAAAAGCTCTCTTTTCTTTTAAAAACTTAATAGTTATTCATTTTTTGTTCAGGTTTATTTATAGGAATTGTTTAGGTAATTGGCTGCTCAGTGGCCAAGCGGTAAAGTGACTGAACACTGGTAGTTCAACCTTGGATCAAATCTTGACAATTGAGCTGGCTGCATGGCTAGTTTTCATGTTTTTCCCATGTTATCATAGATACGAGCTAGTTCCACTCAAAAAACCCTCCACAAAGGCATTCCTTTCTATAGGGAGATAGCCCTTGAGTTGCTTTGCCTTAGTCAGTTAGCCTAACTTAATCATTAGCTAATTTCAACTGATATCATCCTTTTCAAGTACATAAGATCAGCTGTATTGTCTTCCAACTTATTTAAAAATAAAATTGTTAAAAATAAAATTGTAAAAAAAGTCTTTTTTTAATTTTATTTGCTGCTAAAAAAAAAAAAAAAACTAAGGTGATTAGATTTTATTTGTTTCAAAATATTAAGCTTACTTATTTTTCTAGTGGTGTGAGTCGCTTATAGATCTTCCATGGAAAGATATGAATCAACTACCATTTGGTTTTATCAAGGTATTTATTTTGTTTTTCCTCATAGAAATTTTAAATAGTATACAAGTAATGTGTTGAATTTTTTTTTCCACTTTATCTTCTGATTAACAGTGCTTATAAGGGAAGTTATATAATAAAGAGATTTTAAATAAATGACTATTTTTTATTTGTCAATAAAATCTTATAGGCTTTATCATTTAGAAATCTTTTAGAAAAAGACTAATTAATATGCTCATATCTGTTTTTGATTATGGTTTTTAGATAATCTGATGCTATGCATTAAAAACTTTCTTTGCTTTTTTAGAAGGTTTTTGCATGTTAACAGTTGGAGAAAACCATCAAATATAAAGGAATATTTATTGTAGAATAAATAAAAAAAAACTTTTCAGAATTAAAGTTAGTATTGTATGATCATAGTTGTTGTTTATGCTCACTTGTCTGACGTAGTCAGGCCAAATCCACGAAATTCCTTGTAGTAAGGTGCGCTAGATTACACCTGCCATTGATTGGCAACAGTCTTGAGCACCAATCAAATGACAGGTCGATTTAGCTCAGTCCCCCTCTTATTTTTATAGAGAGCACACGGGGGGGGGGGGGGGTCAAAGGGTACCACCCCTCTCCCCTTCCACCAAAACACACAAGAAGACTTTCAGCTCGCCACATATTTAGAGTGCCGCCGCACTGACACTATACTATTATAAACATTTATGCCTTCTCCGGGATTCGAACTCAGGCCCTTCAGCCAGTCAGTCAGCGACACTAGCCACTATACCGGTTGGGTAACATGGTCATAGTACCTTATGTGAATAAAAATGATTTTTATAGTGAGTAAATGGAGTTACATTAAAAGAGGAAGAGCAAGAAAAATGTGATACTTATTCAAGCTATTAAAAAGTTATTGGTCCTTGCATATTAATGCAACCGCCTTACCAGAGTTTGTTGATTTTTTACAGATGAAAAGGTAAAAGTTACATATGAGGTGCAAGTTGGTGGTTTTCATTTCTTTCTTTTTTAAAAAAGATCGTCAAACTGTCAATGTTTATAGTAGGTTGCTAAACAGTATCAACATAGAAAAGGGAAACATAATTTATTAATTTAAAATACAAATTTGAATTATTAAATAAAGTTTACGTGATACATTAAAGAAAAGCACATTCTCCTTCATATTTGCATGTAATTTTTTTAAACTATACTTCTCCTGAAGTACACAGTGATGTATTTTCACATTAATAATTAAAAAAAAAATTGTTGTGGAAACTCGGCTTTGTAGAACCCTCGGTGACAGTGTCTATCTAGGAAACGCATTTTCTGATTGTTCCCTTTAGAAAATTTTTAACAAAATTCCATTATTCCTGCAGAAATTTGACCATGGTTTCTTCTATTGCTGGCAAATTCCACAAGCTGTTATTTTAATATTTAAGTTTATGACGAAAAATGGAACAATTTGCTTATAAAAACATTTGGAACTTGTAATATAACAAAAAGAATGCATACAAAAATGGCAGCATTACTTCAGTGAAAGTGATGGCATGGCTTCTGGAAGAATGGTCATGTGTGTGGTTTCCGGAGTTTGCAGATTCTGAAAATTTGGCGATTTCTGAGATTTAGATAACTTTTAAGTACCTAATTACCTTTATGCTCCTAGGCTATAATCATTGCCATACAATACTGAAATAAGAGTTTTAAAATATACTAAGATGGTTGTGTTAATACATTAGGTACCAAATGATTTTTTTCTGTACTGTAATAGTTTCTATAATTATATATAAGTTATAGTATAAAGCATTTCTTAATATATATTGAAAAACGCTTTATACTGTAATTTGTTGTTTGAAATCTTTTAAATATTATTATCTTGTAAATATTTTGTTCATTTTTAAAGACAACATTAAAATTTAATTTCAATAATTTTTTTCATAATGTCCTGAACTCCATATGTTTTGTAACTTTATTAGGAGGATTGGCCTGAAATGCTGAAAACATTTATCAGAAAGTGCTGTGATTTAGGAAGCTTTCGTTTCCCTAAATCTAATTTGCAAGAAACTACAGTTCAAGTGAAAACTTTTGTAAATAAGACCACTCCACGAAAGAAGCAACTTGAAATAAAAATTATGTCTATTTTAATTGATGAAATCTGCAAGAATCTTCACTGTAATTACGTCCTAGACATTGGATCTGGATTAGTAAGTCTAAAACAAGTTATTTTTGAGTTTTACAGACATCAAATTCATTCTGTAGTACCCAACTTTTAAATTTTTCTCGACTGAATTTTATCCCTTGAGTGTATTATATTACTCAAAGCATTTTATAAAACAGATTAGTTTTAATTAAAAATGTGTATAATAGATTATTTGAAGCAATCAGTTTTCTTCAACTGATATGTTCATCATTCATATCTTTCTTCAGCTCATTATTTTTACTTGCATGTTTCTATTTCTTACATCTTTTAAATATTAAAAAAAAAAAAAATTCAGCCTCTGAGTATCAAATCATGAAGTATTAATTTAAGGCCAAATATAAACTATTCTTTTTTTTTTTTGTGTGTGTGTGGTGTGTGTGCGCGCGCGAAGTAAATTATAATATATCTCTATAATAACTATGAAAATTGTTTATTTATAGTCTGTAACTTTATATGGTTAGATGAATATTAAAAAATGGAAGAGTATAGAAGTAATTAAAATGTTCAGCTACATGAAAAATTAGTTCTTTGAGAATGAAATATTTGTTGGATTCTGAAAAAAACTTTCTGAAATTACAAACTTTGAATTTTTCCCATATCTAGCTGGAGAGTTAAAATTAATGATAGTATGAGTAGATGTTGGCATTTTAGTGTATAAAAATGTAAAGAACTTATCTGATTAATTTGGTAGCTATAAAAAGCAAATTTAACTAGAGATTTTTATATTGTTTTTCATAACTGTAACTTTTAAACGTATTATCAGTAGAATGGTAACATGCTCATTGGTATGCTGTGTGAATGTTACTTAGTGTAAGACATAATTTATGCTGTTTTCATACATCATAGTAGCAGTTTATGTTTTGCTAATTTTTGAGAGCTATATTGTTGTCATCCCAGAGCTGCATTTGAAAGCTTTATTTCTCTCAAAAGTTTTCAGCAACAAGCTTTCCTGGTTACAAAGCTCCAAACTGGTAATAAAAAAAAAATAAAAAAAAAAAAAATAAATAAATAAAAAATGCAGAAACTTATGTGACTGCCTTTTATATGAAACATTTGTCAAAACTGGATATTAAGAGATTACATTTTTATTCACTATGGTCTTTTCAGTCAGAGAGTTTTTATCATTGTACACTGTGCAAAAAAAAAAGGGGAGGACAGTTCTGTATCTCCCGTTCTACTGGGACGATTGACGAAATTCAAATTGCGTTCATGTTACAAAAGCGCGACGTAGGATATATATTAGATTTATACATGGCATTATTCTAACATAAGTATTTTGACACAAAATCAGACTTTTTCTGAAATAATATTCCATTTTTTTTTACATATTTCAATTCTCCGAGTCAAATTATGTTTAAATATTAAATTTTGCAAAATTTGGTGCGAAAATTTCCGGAGAAATTCAACAATTTGTGTGGGCGCTTTTTTTCAGTTTGCGCCAAGAATAGTTCACTTCGCAAACTTCTTAATATATGGCAACCTATTTTCATTATCCTTTTTACATCATGCATGAGAGGGGGGGAAAGTCACAATCCTTCCTTCTTTCAAATAATGTTCTTTATATTATATTTTTAATTATAATTCTCATTATTTTAAGTTTTTTTTTTTTTTAATTTCATTTTAATTGTTTAAGTTACATGGTTTATTTCAAATAACTGCATTAAAAATTTCTATTTACTCATTCGAACTGCATAGTTTAAATAAAAGGTGCATCATTTATTTATTTATTTTCAAATAGTTTTCTTTATACTATATTTTTTAGTCACAGTTATTATTTTAGGTATTTTTTTTAATTTTTAGACTGTTTTATGCCTATTTTAATTGTTTGTGTTGCATTGTCTCTTCAGATAATTGTTTTAAAATTTTCTATTTATTCATTCGAACTGAGCATTTTAAATATATTTATTAATACAAATTTTCCAGAATTTGATTTCATTTATTTGAATTGCACTTCTTTCAGAAGAATACTTTGTGACGCAGACTATGATGCATTTGAAAACTGCATATATTTAAAGAGAAAATACAGTAAAGCACAGTTAACATGCCTTTCAGTGTTCCATTCAGAAAAGATATACAAATAAGAGAGACATATAACCGACATTAACTTAGGATGACTTGTATACATCACTTTAAACAGTTTTATCATTGTGTCAATTGCTTTACATAATTTTATCACACTGCATTTAGTTTCTGAAAATGTTATTCATATTTTAGTCAAGTGTTTTATTTTAGAAATTGCAAGAATCAAATATCATAAGATTAAAATAGTTTTTAATTTTAAAAAAATACTAAATTTTATGCAAAAATTTATCATTTCTTCTTAATGGCTTGCTCTTTATCTTCAGGCATTCTGCAAGTATAGTAAAAAGCATCCAACTTTTCGAAAAATTTTGGTATTTCTTACATTCATTTAAAATAAATTTATCGCCTTCCATTTCATAAAGGCCCACAAACAACCAAGCGGTAAAGTCGCTGAACACTGATAGTTCTCTCTAGGGTTCGAATCCCAGCAAATGGGCTGGTTGCATGGCTGTTTTCATGGTTTTTCTCATGCGTAACGTGCATGCCAGCTGGTTTCCCTTACAACGTTCTTCACGAACACATCTTTCCTTTTAGGTAGATAGCCCTGCTTTGCAGTAACTTAATAATCCAATTCAATCCATTTTCTCAGTATTTGGCAGAGCCTTTATCAGTCTTTAGAAGGCTAAGCATGAGATGAAAGGAAAGACTGGTTTCATCAAGAGGGAAAACGTCTTTAGATGATATCAATATACCTTTTAAAGACATTAGGATTTTTTAGAAGCAGAAGACTTGAAAAATGGGCAATGCCCTCACGGGAATCGAACCATGGACCTCTTGAATATGTGCCAAGCGTGCATACCACTACACCACAAAGGCACGCTAAGAAGGCGGGAGCAATACCTTATGACATCATTGGATAAATTCCTGAATCTTCAAATAATTCAACTGAGAAATCATGGGATGTTAAGTTTATGATATGATATGATGTTCTATGACGTAATTTAAACAACCATATAGTTGAAAACCAATCGCTCTTCAATTTAATCTGCAATGATATGGTTTTTGTCTTTTTCGTTAGTACTAACTCAGTCGCTGGTATTTGCTGGTGTGCACATCGAAATGTTTTCTCTTTAAACACCCAACTTCCTTGAAGTAGATTCCTCTTTAAATTCCCCCCTAATTTCCTTTCTTTACTTCTACATTTGTTTTCAGTGCTGACACAAAATTCAGATTTTTTGATTGTTACACTTCCATAAATTTTACATTCTTGTCAATTTTTTAAAAATATCCATTGCATCAAATGCATTTCGGCTGAAGATAACTTTTCATTTTTCTAGACATTTTAACTAAAAATAAAGTTTAAAGCAAAGTCCAAAGGATAAATATTTGAATTAAAAGATTTTTCTTAAATGAGAACGAAATAAACTACTCCAGCAACGCTTATCCTGTACCACTGAGTGGTCCAATTCTTATATCAGGTGCAAAACAATCTAAATCATATTACAGTGAAAAGTCTTTAATCTGGACTCGTCGGGACTTCAGCGATTCCGAATTATAGATCATCAGTTCAAATCTGGTAAGATGGCATGTAGAAATTATAAAATTAAAAATATGAAACCATAATTTATGAAATATTATGCAATTATGATCTAAAGATCTAAAGATTGCATCATTGTGCACGTATTCGTGCGCAATGATGCAATTAAGCCAACTTTAACACCTTCATATGATGGTCCATTCAAAGTTTTCAAACGAACACCGAAACATTTCACCATCATCTGCAATGGCAAACAATCAGTGATTGGAATCGATCGTCTCAAACCAGCATTTCTAATGCAAGATCCAACAACTTCCTCATCAACATCACTCCCGGAAGAAAGCTTACATCCCGTTAAAGAGCAACCTAAAACTACCAGATCTGGAAGAAAGATTAAATTTAACCCAAAGTACTTATAACGTACCGGTACTTGGGGGGGAGTACTGTGGCGTTCCAACAGATACTTCAACTTCTATTCATGAGATGGCACCACGTGTAAAATCCAGTTCTTAATCGGAGCAGCAAAGCGACGTCATTACTCACTCAGACTTCTCGTGAGACAACTGTACGCAACGGTAGCATGAACTGTTTCAAGCTCTGCGTTGATCTCTGCAATGTAATTTAAATTGTAATTTAGTACTTAATATATTCTTTTGTTATAGGAGATTGTCTACTCTTCTTTTCTTTAATTATATCATGCATTAAGCACACGACCACCAAATAAATAATTAGATAATTTTAGCTTAGCTTATACCAGCCGTTGTACATTAAACGCGCATGCATAAACATATTATGAACATGCATAAATGCATATGTGCATGCGTAAAGGTATTATGCGCATGCGCAGAAAGTTTGTAGCTTTGAGGTCTGGATTATGGACGTTTGGATTAAAGACTTTTGACTGTATTTTAGAGTTTTTAAGCGTAATAATTTCTATATTAAAGAACATGTTTTTAATATAATCTACAACACAAGAGATAAATATTACTTAAAACATTCTTTCTAAGAGGTTTAATGTAAAAATTTATATGTATGTATATATTTTTTAAAGCTGGGACACGACCCAAACTCTCAATGTCCTGCTTGCTTAAAAACATTGTGAAAATGAACATCAAACAAACTTTCTCAGTTTTAGACAATTCAATTTAAATGAAATTAAAGTAGCAGACGGTAACACAGTGAAGGTAAAAATTTACTCTTACAAAATTTTTTTAAAAAAAGGAAAAAAGAAAGAAATTTGAAAAAAAGTTAAAAATTTGAATAATATCATCTGTAATTTTAAAAAAAAAAGTTTTTCATATGGTATTAATATGGTATTAATAAATATTTATTACGTATCATTGAGGGAAAAACTTTCATGTAATTACTTCTCCGTAAAAATTTATTTGAAATTTAAGGTTAAAAATAGCTGTGGCATTTCACTGTAACCAAATCCATAAACCACATTTGGCATTACAGTCAAAAGTCGTTAAATTCGGACACCCATAATCCGGAATGATCTATAATCCGGACCTCAAAGCTACAAACTTTCTGCGCATGCGTGTAAAACCTTTACGGCTGCGAATATGCTTGTGCGCGTGCACAAAATACGTTTACGAGTGCGCGTTTAATGTATAACGGGCGGTAAGCTAAGTTAAAATTATCTAATTATCTATTTCAGTTAATGTTGCAGATTGTGTTGTTCCTTAATCTTTGAATTGGATCCGGCTTATTATTTTTTGCAGACTGTTAGAGCAATTTTATAAAAGTAAGCTTGAACTTTCGATTATGTCAAATAGAATTTCTGATATATATTTATTAATATGTAAAGGATCTACAAAGCGAAAGTATATTTTGAAGTTCATTAAACAAAAAGTGGAATTGCTGCAAAAAATGGATAAAGGCATATCCTTTGTTTATCTTTAACGCCGCGGCGCGCAATGAATTGGAAGTTGATCTGTCAGCACAATCCTTATCTTCAGGGCAGATGTTTTTATTTTATTTGGCTTATAATTCTTTACTAAATGTAGTATTTCATCTTGATGTACTCCGTCTTTGATATGATTTAAATCAAATTCCTCGTCATTATTTTGCTTCTGATAGCGAAGAAAGTGACAGAGGTTATTGAAAATGAAAAAATTTCAATTGACGAATTAGTCGGTAGACACAGCAATTATAGGACTTGAACAGCGGAACTTTGTAACTGAACAAGAAATTATGTCTGTTTATAGAATTAAAGAGAATGTATTATCACATAAAAAACAAAGCAACTTAAAAAACTTACATTGAAAGAAATGTTTAATAAAGTAAACAAATAAATATTAAGCTTTTTTTTTTTTTGTAAATTTTGATACCTTTTAGATTATAATTGTTTTTTGTTTTATAAATTACGGTTTCATATTTTTAATTTTATAATTTCTGCATGCCATCTTACCAGATTTAAACTGATGATCTATAATCCGGAATCGCCGAAGTCCCGACGAGTCCGGATTAAGGACTTTTGACTGTATTATCGTTCAAAAAAAAAAAAAAAAAAAAAAAAAGATGCCAAATTTCAAAATGCAAAAATATGTAAATTCGTGTATATCTTACAAAGGTTTGAATAAAAAACTCTATTTTTTTGCAGGTATGTTTAGAAATACGCCTATTTTAAGATGGTGGTAAAAATTTTATAGGTTATAATTCAAAATTTTTTTCGAAAAATTTATAAAATTTACTTAAAAATACAAATTTTAAAAATAAATCATAAAAAAATGGGTGAATTTTATTTGGAATGAACTTAAATTTTGAAATGCAAAAGGAAGAATCAAAAACATTTCATAAAAAAGAGGTATTAATAAATATCTACCAAATGCAATTAACATTGAGGAGCTAATTTTTTAAAAACTACTCATGCCATTTTTACAAAACTTGGTAGTTTGGCATAATTTGAGTCATAAAATCCAAATGTGTTAAAAAATTAGTATGTTATTTCAAAAAAGTCCAATTTTGTGTCAAAATACCTATATTAGAATGGTGGTATACATAAATCTAATATCTATCCTAAGTCGTGCTTTCGAGACATGAAGAACACAATTTTAATTTTGTCAATCAGTCCAGTAGAATGGGAGATATAGAACTGTTCCATTTTTTTCGTAATGTACATAGTAGCTTTGTCCGTATTGTTTTCCAGAATAACAAAATTTAATATATTTTGTATTATAGAGACTTTAAGCATTATATATATATATTGCCTTAATTTAAAATATTTTTACTAAATTTTCCTCTTTATCATTGCTTTTGAGTAATCAATATTTTGCTTTTGTATAAAGCATGCTATTATATGTATATGTGTAATTCTTTACATTTATTGATAATCACATTATAATATAATTTTAGTGAAATTTTCTTCTGTAGTTTATATCTTTTCAGTCTCAATAGCGTATTCAGAATGCATTTTGGGATTCTGTTTTCGTTTATAACCTATTGTGGAAAAATAACTATAGTACAGTACAAAGTCCATAATCTGAACTTGTCGGGACTTTGGTGATTCTGGATTAGGTGTTTTTCCGGATCATAGATCATCAATTTAAATCTGGTAAGATGGCATGCAGAAATTATACAATTAAAAATACAAAACCGTAATTTATGGTATAAAGAGCAATTATGATCTAAAGGGTATCAAAATTTACAAAAGAATAAAAGCTTATTATTTATTTGTTTACTTTGTTAAACATTTCTTTCAATGTAAGTTGTTTAAGTTGCGTCGTTTTTTGTGCTAATACTTTCTCTTTAATTCTCTCTTCTATAAACAGACCTAATTTCTTGTTCAGTTACAAAGTTCCACTGTTCAAATCCTGTAATTGCTGTGTCGAGAATGCCGACTAACTCGCCAATCGAAATTTTTTCATTCTCAATAACATCTGTTACTTTCTTCACTATCGGAAGTGCGCATGTGTACATGCTTTACTGGCTTTCTGCATGTGTGTAGCCGACATGAGCATTAAATGTGCATACATAAGTTTGTGGTTTTGAGGTCCGGATAATGGACGTCTGGATTACGGACTTTGTACTGTATTAATGGGAAATTATATTACAAAAATTAGAGCTTGATGCAGAAGTTCTGAATTCACAATTCAAATTAGTTAAAAAAAATACTGCATGGTATTTCAGGAAGAACTATAAGATAAAAAGTAGTAATAGTTCAAGGGATTTCTTATATGCTGAGATATAGAAATAGCAGACCCAAAACATCTGAGAGTAGCACTGATATTAACTACTGATGGAACAAAATGGACTTAAAGCAGCAGATTTGTAAGGCCTTTTGGATTCTTAATGATAAGACTTGGAATATATTTTATATTTTTAAAAACTTAATGCATTTGGATGTCCATTGCAGTTACAATTTGTATGACTTCATAAATCTCATTCTGATGGTGAAAGATGTAATTCATTGCATTACTGTAGACAAACTAGAAAATTAACATTAGACTACAATAATGCTGTACATCACAAATTGTCTCAAAAAAATTTAATTGTAGTAGTGATGATTTTGCATTGAGAATGGTAGCAATAAAGAACAGCTATTGAGGGAAGATAAAAAATACCTAATGTGCTCTTCATATTTGTCATATTTTGCTTAATTCTCATGCATCTCTTGAAATCAGATATAGGATATTAAAGTACTATTGTTGTTATCACTGACAGATTATGTTTCATGGTAATGATTTTTATTAGACCTTTACATTTTGGATAGTTTCTGATGCCCTCATAGTTTTTAACCATTTTCTGTGAGATGGACTTTGAGCATAATTTAGTTTCATATCTACATATCTTTAAAGAATAATGAACAAATTTATGTGCACAAGAATGATTATCTTGAATAAAAATTATGAATTTATCTTGAATAAAAAAGAGCTTCAGTTATGTTAAAATCCTTTAGGGTTAATTACTAATAGCTGATGTTTTCTTTAACTGAGAAGAAAAAAAAAAAAAATAGTAAATTGCCTTTGTGTAATGTAGCATTCATCACATATTATTAAATTGTTATGTGTTATTTTGTCTTTTCCTGTGCTGATTCAAAAATAGTTTTTGTGCTCTTTTTAACAGGGTTATCTTGATCAAGCACTTCACCATAATTGTGGTGTAAAATGTATAGGTCTTGATTCAGTGCCTGCATATACTGAGGCTGCTGTGTCTCGACTTAAAGATGGTAATCATCTTCAATTGCTATATACCTTATGTTTGTTAAACTGTTTCAGTAAATGTGGATGAACGTAACACCTCACTTTGATTTTTGAAGAGTAGTAATATTATCCTGCTGTGTTGTTCAAATTAATGAAATTATTCTTTCCTAAAACAATTAAATAAAACTTTAGACCCAAGGTGGGTGAATAAAATGTCTATGATGTTTTTATTTTTAATGCTTATCTTCATATTACTGTGCACAATAAATGGGGGGAAACTATATCATTTTAATCTGTGAATGATAATCAAGGTAACTATTGATCTGAATTTCAATGTAAAATGGCTTTCTAGTTTTTGAAAAAATGTGTTCTCTTTTAATCAGTAACAGAAGAATTCCTTGAGGATAACTAATACTTGAGTTGTAAGTTTTCAGATGCATCATTGTATCAAGCAGGATACAGTAAATCTCATTCATGCCCTTGATAAATTCAATAAGAAAAAGGATGGAAAGATCCAGGCTTGCAGACAAGTATAAACATTAAATCAGTATATATAAAAATTGAAAATTAAATAACAATACTAATTTATTGAAATATACAATAATAAAAATGACAAGTAATTTGACAAGCTAAGTCAGAGCAGCAACTAATACTTTTGTGGAAATATTCATGTATGTGTGGTGAAGTAGGAGTATATAGGGACAGAAGAGGAAGCACAGTGTGCATCTTATATAGAATAAAAATTGTAAGCAGTGTCATTTGTAATATGATAGTAAGATATGCAGTGTAATTTGATATAATAGATGCATGTTATTTGATGCCATTGATGTAAAATTTTTAATAGCCAAAGTACACACAAAAACCATATGATACACAGTATGTTTCTTACAGTGTGATATTTTACAGTATTTTTTTCTTTAATATTTCTATCCTGTGTTCTGTATGAATAAGAAAGCTGTAAATAATAATATTTTTTTTAGTGGATAAATGTATGTAGTTTGCTATATAGTTTTGTTTTGTAAAGGATGTATATATATGTATCATATATATGAGGACTGCTTAGAAAAAGACCCAACATTTGCTGTTCTTGCTTTATTGTTTATTTTACAAACTTTTAATCATTATTCCCTTCAAAGTGCTTCTGTCTAATGTCAAAACACCACTGCCATCATTTCTACTTTTAGAGTACCTGTTGGAAACCTTTTTTTTTTTTTTTTTTTATGTGTAACATTTTTCATGAATTTTTTTCTGTGGTTTGGAAACAAAGTCCTTTCAAAAGAATTTTAAGTTTGGAAATGAGAAAAATGTCTACTGGGGTCAAATCTGGAGAATAGACTTTGTGGAGCACAATGGAAATGCACTATTTTAATTAGATAATTGGGAGCAAGGAACAATGCATGAGCTGGAGTGTTGTCATGATGCATCATCTTGACTGATTTCATAGCAGTTTAGGCCTCTTCCTATGCACAGCATCTCTCAGTTGTATTAGAATTCTCTGGTAGAAATCCTCATTTACTGTTTGACCACATGGTAGAAATTCATAGTGCTTATTATTGTTTCATTCAAAAACACAACCATTGTTACCTTGATATTTGAGCAAGTCATCCATGCTTTCTTTAGTCAAAGAACCCTTTCCCTACCAGTTCTGAAGACTGTCTCTTCATATCTGCATCATATCTGTATACCCCCATCCGATAATTTGTTTCTATGTTCTTGAGGAAGTTATCATCTACATTTGCATTTGCAAGCAGTTCTTGAATAGATTTCAACCAAAATCCATATCATTAATTATTATTAGTCCATATCATTAATATTCTAGTCCAGAATTTTGACCAGAATATTCATATTCTGAACATAGCAAAGATCCTACATTTCTTCAGTAACCTCAAGGGCAGTTAAACAATGATTTTTCTTCAGCAGCATGCACACTCTGTCAATTGTCTGTTGACATGAAAGGTTGTTCGGTCCTTGAATATTCACAACCAAATTTCTGACCTCCTTAAATCTCTGAAACCAATCATAGCACTACAGTTGGTTCATGCAGTCATTCTTATATTAAGCACCATTAATGAAGCTCTTGGAATGTTTCTGTTAAAGTTTTCTCAGTCTTATGCAAAATTTTACACAGATGCATTGTTCTTCCAGCCCCTTCATCTTTGCTTTTTCAGTAATCCAATGAGCGGCTTATGCATGATTTCATTCAATCAGTAGTTACTCAACAACTGGTGCATAGCTTGGAACCTAGCAAAATGTGATATGTTGCTTAGATATGCTGCAAGATGTGTACAGTGGCTGGAGTGCATCATCTTCAAATATTGGCACACAGTTTTAAAGAGTTTGGTCTCTTTTTATTAAATTTTTTATTAAAAAACCTCACATGTGTTTATGTGCATATATTTCTTGAAACATTTTTAATGCAAATATTTTTTATGAAAATTAACTTAATTCAAAATTGCTTTTATTTGTGACTAATTTTATATGAACTTTGTGTTTAATTAGCATGTAAAAAAACTTGTTTCATTCTTTTCTCCTCCTCCTTATAACGTTTCATATTGTATACTAGTCTTATTTATCTAATATGCTCATTATATTTTATAAGTAGAATCTGACACAAGAATGATATTTTTGTGTACAAGAAGATACTGTTTAATATTTTTTTTTTTTTTTCTTTTCCAGATCCCTGTAACAAAGCATTGTATCATATAACGCTGAAAGTTGAAAATTCTGCCGTTTGTCTTTCTGAGGTTAGAACTGCTTTATGGAATGCCTATAACAAAGATCTTACTTGTAGCTGTAAAATTTCAACCTGTGCAAATGGTAAACTCTTAGCAGTCAAATAAATAAAAGACTGGTATTTATAATATAAAATATTCTAACTCATTTTGCATCTTTTTCATTCTTAATTTTTAGAACAAAGGAAAGTTAGCCCAGAAGGGCTATTAGTCTCAAAACGGGATTTTGTGTTGGATCACTCTAAAAGTCTGAAATTTACATGAATGTATGCTTGTTTTTCGCATTATGAAAAAACAACAGTACCTAGAACCATCAAGTTTTGAATAATGCAGTCCTCCACTTGAATATGAACATTTAGAAGGCTGAATTTTGAGTTTGTTTTATTGTGTATTTCATATTTTATATGTGTTTAAAAAATTTTCATATATTTTTAACGAATTTTTTATTAACAGACTCACTGATTTCAAAGCAAGATAGAAAAACATTTTTATCTCCAGTGTATGAGAATGTCTATTGGGAAATCTAAAGATAGGCTGTTTTTAAATATTTTTAGGCCAAAAGAACATTAGTCCAAGTGCTCTCAAAATGCATACGTGTATGTAAATGAAAAAACACCCGTTTGGGTGTAATATGAAATCTGAAAGCTTTCAGATTTATTTTTTTTTTCAATTTGAAGGAAATAATTTAACAATAATAATAATTTGTTTACAATATTCATAAATGCTGGTATTAAAGACCAGAAAATAAATTTGTGTACCAAAATCCTTGACGAGTCTCCAAACTGTGATAAATGTATGAACCCTTAGGAATTTCTGTGCCGAGAGAAATTTATAAACGGGCCAACTTACTATGAAAAATAACTAACTATATAATACAAAATTATAGAAGTAAATTACATTTAGCACAGTGAACTTTTAGTGGCAATTGCTTCCCAAGGATGACCTCCTGGTTTCTATTTTTGATGTTATTGGAATCTGTTGAAATGCATGCATATAAATGTATGAGTATTTATTTGTTGAATTTTAATAAGTACATAAATATTTATTTATTGAAGTACTATTTGACAAGTTATTATAGCTTTTTACCTGATTTCTTGAATACTTGATATGAAATCATATATTAATTCTGTTGAGAATTCAAAGAGAATATTATTGATATTTTAAGTCCAAATATATTGAAGTTTACTGTATGTTATCAATTGTGTATAATACACTGATTATACTACAGCTGTGACTGCTAAAAATTTGTAATATATGATATCATTATTCTATTAATCTATTTCATAACTCACATAAGTGAATTTCATGATTTATGTAATGAATGTAAAAGATGTAGGTATGATAAGATTTTACAATAGATTTGTTTTTTTTAGGAGAAAAATAAAATTATTAAAGATAAACAATTTTTTTTTATTTGAAAAGAGATTCTTATTATATAACAATGATGTGATTAAAATGCTACAACCAAGGTGTCTTTAAAAAAATGAACTGCATGTAGTACTTGTATTTTCTTCTGAATTATTGTATGCATTTTATTACTATTTAGGATCTTTTAACAAATCCCATTTGAATCCTGTTTTAATGGTTGGTCTGCACTGCTGTGGAAATCTTATGCAGGATATGATGAGCATCTTCTCTCAAATGGATGAATTAAAAGCATTTGTTTGTGTGGGATGCTGTTATAATAAAATAAATATTACAAGTAAAATTCTTTAATCATTTACCTAAAAACTATGTATTAAGTAATATTCTTATTTAATAATGGAAGTTTATTTATATAAATATGTGTGCATTATTTTCCATGCATATATTTCTTTCAGAAATGTGTAACTAAAATTTATGTCTGGAATTGATTTGATGTCAATTTTACTGATGTTTTTCATTAAAATTTGTATGCATTTATCAGATGAACTTTTAAAAGTGATAAAAATTTCTGTTTTTAAGCATTTAGATTTAAGGTTTTGTATCACTGAGTTCAGTCCACAGATAGTAAACAAATATTTTATTGGCCATATTCATTCAACAACCTATAATAAAAGAACTTATATAACTTAAATAAGTCATATCCAGAATTATTTAGTTTCATAATATTCAGTTTGTGAATGTAATAAGTGTCTTCTAATATGCTCATAGGCTTATTTTTATGCTGTGTTATTAATTTCTTGCTTTTAAAATACTATTTTATTTTACTAATTTTAAATATATTTCTTAATTTAATATTTATCTAAAGTTCTTATTACACTTATAAAAAAAATGCAATTTCAATGGTACATTATTTAAGTAAAATACTTTTCTTAGGATTTTTAAGTCTTCCATGTAATTTTATCATTTAAATTAAAAATTTAAATATTGATTTCATAACATTGTAATTGCATAGTTACTATTCTAAAATCCCTGAAATATATTTCTTATTAGCCCTGGCTAAAATTATACAGGATATAGATAGCATATTTTAGCATCTCAAACATTTGAAAGCTATTACAACTAATTTCCCCCTATCCCCTCTAATGGCAAAAGGCTGATTAAAATATGCCTTCTTTAATTATTGGAACTTATCTTAAGTGTTAGAATTTTTTTCAAGCATTGCAACTGTGTAATATAGACCTTTTTTTAATTGTATTAGCATTGCTGGTTCTGAATATACAAATCCTGAACTTGTGCTACATGTTTAATATTATAGTATGTTACCAAAGTAAGATAAAATTGAAAGCATGAACTCTCAGAACGTCTGTCTTGGCTGAACTAAATAAATTATATTAATTGATGTACTTTATTTCAGTGAAAAATGTAATGAAAGCTATTAGAATAAAATTTCAAATTATTTAACTTTGAATTTATTTTTAAGGCTTTTTGTGTAAATTCCTGTAATCACATTCATAAAATTTATTATTCAATTCCTGTCAACAAAATGCATTTCATTAGATTTCTGAAATTTATGTCTTCTAAATTTTGAAGCAGAAAAAAAAGCTTTTGTCAATCGATGTCTAAGAGTTCCTAAGCATGAAATCATAATAGCTTCCTGCTGTCATAAAAATAAGTATGATAATCAAATGTGAAAGTACTTTTTATTAAAATTTGTATTAAAATCAAAGAAAAAAATCTTGACATGAACCATAGTAGGTCCAATTTGATAATCCCGCTCAGATTGCTGAAGCCATACATGGAGGGTTAAATTTAGACATAGTACTATTTTACTAATTTAGTTATTATAGTTTTGATCATTTTCTTTTTTTATGAACTTGAGGGGGGGGAAAACTGATATCTTTGTAAATTTTATACCTAGATTTTCCAGTGAGCAATACTGCAAAATTTTGTGTGAAAGCTGCTTGTAAAGATTCCATATGTTGGTATCCATGTATTTCTGGTTTGAGGCTTGGTTCACATGCAACAAGATCAGAATGGGTTTCATTGTCTGAGGAAATGCTTTCATATCGAGAAAGAAGTCTAGCTTTTAGAGCTGTATTACAATATTACATAGCTAAAGGTAAATTTCATTTAACGAAAATTAGAATTAATGAAAATCTTCTAATTTTTTAATTTAAATATCCAGTTCTAAATATGCATTGAAAATTTAGTTATTTTAATCACCGTATGTATGTATAGTATGTATGTTCCTAAATTTTTAATCACAAATTCAGCGTATTGAAATTATTGACAAATAACAGGAAGTGTGTGCTAAATTTCTATCCTTTTTAAAATCTATTGTTAATAACATTGAATTTTTGATTGTTTGGGATTGATCATTAGCCCTGTAATTTTCAAATTTAAATTGTCTATGAAAGTAAGCAAATGAATGTCAATATCAAGATCTTGCAAGGTCTTAATAATAACTTAGCAATCAATGGCAAGTTTCTCTAAAACACTAATTTTCTGTAATAATTATAGCAAAGAAAGAGAATCATTGTGTATAAAAATGCACATTGATCTCAAACCACTACAAGAATTTTGAATCCATTTCACAGCAGATTTAAATCTTATCAACTCAGCTGGAAAAGAAACATTTTATCATTAATCTTGTACTGTATGAAGTCTCTTTCTTGTTTATCTTCAAAAACAAAAACAAAAAAAGCAAGGCCAACCTTATTATTCATCTTACTTTCATGAGTAAAACAAATGAATTTATACTCTTCAAGAACATTGCAAGCATTAAAATTTACTGCAGCAAAGCCAGCAATGAAGATGCATTCTTAATATGGTTATATTGCTGCCCTATGATCACTGGTATTCCATTGACTATACTTTTGTTTTGTTAACCCTCTGACCGGCACAGAGTTTTGCTAAAAAAGCCCAAATTTTCCAAAACTGACACGAGAAAATTGTGTTTTCTTGATTTTAATGCCCCTGGTACTTCATATCTTGATTTATGTACATGTATTGCCTTAATTTCTTGGCTGTGTTTCAAGATGCACTTATATGTACTTTCTTAACCCTGTGACCAGCAAGGTCCTATATATATGGCCTAGAACGCAGTTTCTTAAACCGTGGAACCCATCCCCAATTGGGGTCGCGGGACCTGCAGTAGAGGGTCGCCAAAAATTTTACCAATTTTGATATTTAACTTATTATAATAATTTTACAATTACCAATTATTTTTACATAACATATTTGAAAATAGATAAAGATAAGACAATACAAAGAAAAAGCGAAAATGTTTTGATGCATTTTTTTTTAATAACTCTACTTTAAAAATTAGAGTTCATGTCCTAAAACTGCAATAGCATTACAAGGGAAGAAACTGACAGTTTCGTTCATGTGTGTGTCGCATTTGCACAGTGCTTATGGGGCCCCCACACCAAAAAGTTCAAGAAACCCTGGCCTAGAATATTTTTTTGTAATGTCTGTAAGAATATATGTAGAGAGAGAGAGGGTGTTTACACATTTTTGTAACAATTTTGACTTTTTCCATGAATTTAAATATTAATTTTAAACTACAGATGTGACTGGCATCAAATTCGGATTATTGTCTGCAGCATTAAAAATACGACCCATAGTGGCTAAGCAGATAATAGTACAGCTGTGCTTGTAATAGGCCAGCTGCATGATACTTTTTTATAGTTGTTCCCATGTGTAACATGACTATAAGGCTAGTTTGCCTTTAGAAAGTCTGCAGTAGAGGCATCCCTTACCTTTTGCAGATTGATGAAATAATAAAAACTTAATATTTAACAGGCCAAAAAATACCATTAAATATTTGTTTAGGTTTAAAATAAAGTGTCTGTTAGATTGATATTATAAAATACAATGGAAAATACTGTTGTTAGTAGAAGCTGACTGTTATTCTGCTATGCATACTAGCAAAATGTAATTCTTAGACAAAAATAGCCATGCTCTAAGGTTGAGCCTGTGCCTTAGAGCTTTGAACAAATGATTATCTTTCAATACTAATTTCATTAACACAGCACAAGAGTGTTTATCTGCAGACAGTGACGTCCCTGTTTCAAATTCTAGCTGAAGGCTGTATATTTTTTATGATATTCAAATAAAGTAGAACACGGAGGACTTCTCACTAACTTCAAGATATCTGTGCTCAAACAGAAGGATGAATATATTTAGTCATTTAGGTATAGGTGCAGTCAATCTATAAACAAATTAAATGTTTGCTGGAAGAGGCTGATGGTTGCGCTTGGGGATGACACATTGGCTATATGCTCAGTTGTAAATAAGGAGTCCAAAGTTGTGATTAACTGTTCTTATTTCTCTTTATAGCATCATACCATACTTTCATTAATTGCTTCATTTACTGGATTTACTGATTGCTAATTAACTCTCTGAGTGGCACAGGTTTTTTGATCTGTCATGTAGACCTGTATTTAAACAGCCTTTATTATGTATATTTTAGTCTCTATTTTCATAAACTTACATTTATTAAGATGACATTTATGTCATTAAAGAATGTAAGAAAGCAAAATATCTTAAATTCTAAGCTAATTTATACCAAGTGACAAAAAATTTTGTGACCAGTTTGTAGGGGCAAAAAATAAAGCTACCTCTTTTTTTTTTTTTTTTTTTTCAGAAAATAAAGTTTGGAAAAAGCCAAAAAGACGTCTGAGGCAGTCTGATTTTACAGATTTCCAATCGTATTGTAATAAAATGCTTGATGAAAACTTTAGTAAGTAAATTTTTGCCGAGATTAAAAGTGTTTATATAAGATTTAAATGACGTTTGAGCTGCTTTTAGTTGCAAAATACACTATTTTAATAGTATATTAAGTGTCTTTTAATGAAATCTGTTCCTTCCTTCAAAGCTTCTTTTTTTTTTTTTTTTTCATACAGTGTTGTGTTTTTTTATCCCAGTGTAATATGATATAAGGAGAGTTCAGGGGGAAAATATAAGAATAATAAGGAATAAGGCTTATGGAATTAATACAGAAGTTGATCTCCTCTATATTACATATGTTACATATTTATTTCATGCTGACAATAATGTTAACCACAAGTTGGGGAATTATGTCCAACTCCTTCAGCAGTGTGCTCAGTGCAGTTACATCTCTTGGAGAAGGATGTCTCTGTCTAGCTGTTTTTCCTAGATAGTTCCATAAATTCTCTATCGGGTTAAGATCAGGAGATTTTGCTGGCTATGGTGTTCACTTACTATCAAATCACCCAAAATGTTTTGTTGAGCATTATTATCCATAAAAAATCAGATCCATATGCACTTCTGAAAATTCTTACATAAGTTTTTAAAACCTCATCCCAATATTTCAGATGCCTTCACCGCTGGTGAAAACATGTAGGGGGATACATTTATCAATCATTATTCCTTCCCTTACCATCACACCTGCGTTACTAAAACCATCACATTTCGTAATGTTCAAAGGAAAATTTCATGTCCCTGATGCTCTCCAGATGCACACACGTTTAGAATCAAATGTTAAACTAAATCTCGATTCATCAGTAAAGAGAACATGGGTCCATTGGTGTTAACTCCAGTTCTGATGTTCTCTGAATAATTAAAGTGATCTGTCTTTTGTTGTGAAGACAGTGAAACACATACCCTTGGCTTTCTGCCATAAAGGCCTTTTTCATTAAACCTTCTATATACAGTTAGCCATGATATGGCAGTTCCAGTGGCAGTTGCAAGCTCTGAACTTAACAGCCGAGCAGTAGAAAACCCATTACCATGCCAGTTATTGCCAGATATTGATCTTGAGAAGCAGCTGTTATTCGTTTACAACCTTATCCAAGCCTCTTTACAACAGTTTCAAACTAACCACTACCATGATAGTCTGCTCTGCTTCTAAACGCACAATGATTTGCCACATCACAGATTTTTTCAAGTGATACTCTTTGAAGTATTGCAGGAATTCTTTCTGATATTCACTTTGCACAAAGCACTTTATTCATTGTCAGATGACTTAACATCTTGATTTGTATATTCAAAATCGTTCAATCACTTTTCATTCAATAATGCTAATTAAGCTTGTCTTTCACACATGCCTTCAAAAATTGATTTGAGCAATTTTGTGGAATATCATTATTTTTGTGTGTAAAAAGATAAATTTGGACATGAGTGTAGATAGTAGTTAGAATATTTCATTTCATTTTAACTTCATTAAATAATAGAACTTCCACTGGATTTTATTTCATTTATTTGCTGCATTTGATCATATGTTCTTATTGGCAGCAAATCAAGTGTGTCTAATTGATGCTCTATTACTAGTTAATGTTTTGTTACTAGTTTGTGAGTTAAAATAGGCACTTCAGAGGCATAGCGATCCTATCTACATTTATGATCATAACAAATGTCATCATCATTGCAGAGAGAAAATGTTTTCTTCTAAAAAAAGTGATACTTCTATCTTCAACATGAAAATTCAATTCAAAACCTGCCCTCGTGACAGCCAGCGCACTTCCGTGTGGTACAGAAGTACCTCATGTTCTGCGTTTATTTCTTGACACAGTGTTTTAAAAAGACGATGATTAAGAGCTCTACTTCTAATAAAATTCACAGTTTTAATAACTATTGACAATACTTTTTTTAAGCTGGTTGGAAGAGTTTTTGTAGCCAGTGCATGTCTATGTAAAAAACAATGTGTAACAATAACATTAGGAGCCTCTTTTTTTACCAAATGGGCAAAACCAGATTTATTGCCAAGCATCGCAGGTGCTCCATCCGTACAAAGTGAATGAAGTTTTTGTTTCCAGTCGAAGTCGTGTTTGGAAAAGAAAACATTTAAAATCGCTAAAACATCAACTGCCTTTGTAGTTTGCAAAAGAGGCTCACAAAATAAGAATTCTTCTTTGATAGTATCAGCAGACACGTAACGAACAAAAACAAGAAGTTGACTACAATTCGAGATGTCTGTAGTTTCATCCAGTTGCATACTAAAGGGAAATGGCGATGCTTTCAATTCATCGATGATCTGTTTCAAGATATTGCAAGAAATTTCAACTATTCTTGAATGTATCACATCCTTGGACAATGGAATAGCCTCAAGTTTTTTTCTCTGTTCCAGTCCACAAACTAATTCAACCATTTCCAGCGCACATGGCTTAATTAATGTCTCTCCAATAGTATGCGGTTTCTTACTTTTGGCAATACGATATGCAACTCTGAAAGATGCCTCAACCAAAGGTTTTTGTGAAATACCAAATCCAAGTTTGGTTAATGTTCCAGATTTCGAAAACTGGGCTTTCTTCTTTGTAAAAAATTCTAGATCTTTAGATGCATTTTCAGGATGAAGAGATTTGAGATGCTCTATCAATTTTGCCGGTTTCATACTGGCGTTTGCCAAAACTTTTCCACACAGAAAGCATTGTGGCTTTTCAACACCGTCCGATTCCTTCATGCAGCAGAATCCATATTTTACATAATTTTCATCATACTTCCTTTTTTTGGACATTTTGGGCTACAAAAAAATCAAATAATCAAATGAAACATTAAGACACAAAAAAAAAACACTTGAAAAAAAAATACTTTAATTACAACTTATGAAAAAGTAAAACAAATATTTTGTTTTAAAAATTTGCAAGAACTTTGCGGAACTGATTTTAACGTCACTTTATTTCCAAGTGAAGTAAAATTCAAAGGCTACTTTGTGTTTCTAAAAATTTCAAATTTTATATGGTTTGCGAATGTTCTTTTCCTCGTATTGTGGAGGTCTCTATTATTGGGAAATGGCAGACAGACGGCTTACAGAGGTTGCCCGTGACAAAAAAAGTTTTTTTTTAAATATTGATGCAAACATTTTAAAAATTAGGAGCAGTCGGCGGACCCCCAAAATATGACCCATGGACCCCCATGAACCACAGGTTAAGAAACACTGCTTTAAACGTTTTTACCCCTAGCATGGTAATTTTCACTTCGTCCATTTCTATTTCGTCATCTTTTCCATCCTCTCTTTCATATTGTAAATATTATTGTTCTTTGAATGCAAATGCTTTCTTTGTCACTAAAAACTTGAAAACTTGGTTCACTGGTTTCAAACATTTATCCATCCGGAAATATCATTTTGAGCTATATCAGCATCCTTTTCTTCTCTGAAACATGGATACAAATTCATTCCGAGTTGGTTTCTAATTATTTCGTTTGCTTTCATCTTTAACATATGTAAACTGCAACTTTTATTGTAGTGCACAATAGTACAACTAATAAATAAATGAGAGGGAAAAGAAAAAGAAAGAAAGAAAGAAACAATCGCTGATAAGAATTCATAAATTATATTCATTTTCATTATATTTATATACTGTTTGTATGTTTTCCTAATCATTTCTGTAAACTGAATGTTGGGACCTCAATTGATGGAGTATAGGCTGAGTTAATAGAGATTGGTCTCTGCCTTAAATAGTGTAAAAGTGTGTCTCTGCATTAAATTGTGTAAATTGTTGTGTAAAAGTGCATAGTATCTTAGCACAGTAGCACAGTTGTGTAGTGAGAGAAAAATTGCATCAGAAGTTAAATTATAAAGTAGTTTGTGGAATAAGTTTGCAATTGGAAATAAAAAGCATTGGGATAAAGCATATTGGAAATGTCTCAAAACAAAGTAGTCATTAAATATGTTTGAATTCATTGCTTACAGTATCATATGTGAATAGTTATGTCTTGTTAAATGTGAAGAGAACTAGGCATTCATGTGACGAAAGAACTCAGTTCTTCACTGCTTCATTTTTTTTTTTTTTCATTTCCTAGGAAGTCTTTTCTAAAAGAAAGATCAATGGTTCTGAAAGGTTTTGTGTTTAAAATTATTCTGCAGTGTAGAAAGTTTTGAAGCAACTAAATCAAACAAAGGTTCTGTTAATGAGAGTAGTAAATCAGCCAGCTATTAAAATAACAGCATTATATTGATATATGTAACATATATGTATTTCAATAGTTTTAAAATTACCTTATTGAATAATAAGTTTTGGTAAGCAGTCATTTAGAAAATGTGTTAGATTTTTACATTTCTAAAACTGAAAAATTGGAAAATTATTTTTAATTTTATGTAATTTTTTTAATAGAGGAAGAGGAAACCTTGGAAAAGCTAAATATGTTTTATTTACAAAAGCAGCATCTGTTTCCTCGTATTAGGATTTTATTAGTAAGTAAATGAAATTAACTTTCCTATGACTGAACGCAGATCTGTAAATAAAATATGAATTTGTGTACTGGTATATAAAATTAAAGGACAATTTATGAAACGTTACCTAAACATGATCATCAGTTTATAATCCTGTGAAAGTAACTGTACATGTCAAGTTGAACTTATTTAAGTTAAATGCACTTCTATTGTCTTATATATTCATAAAATGAGTTACATAGCTGAGAATATGTTCCATAACTTATTTGTAATATTTTATTTTACTTTATTAATTGATTTACACTGCTGGCCATTAAAGTTGCAACACCATGAAGGAAACCAAATACAAAAAAAGATATTTATTACATGTAAACAGTATGGCTTAAAGAAAAAATGATTAAATTTGTAAGCATTTTGGAGATTAACAGGATGTGAAATTAGTAGAAATAGCTGCCACCCCTGGCAGCTAAAACGGCTCTTACCCCATTAGGCATGGAGTCAAACTGGGTTTGGATGACAGAAATGGACAACTCATTTCATGCTGCTTTATGTCTATGCCACACTTCGTCAACCATATTAGCTGGAGAGGGGTGGCAGACCAGTCTCTTAGCAAACCATGATCAGATGTTTTCAATGGGTGACAGATCGGGAGACCATGCAGGCCAGGCAGCAATTTAATACCATGTGTATCGAAGAAGGTCAAAACATGATGTGAAACATGTGGTCTTGTATTATTATGCTGGAACATGGCGTTTGAGGACCTCGAAGATAGGGCACAACCACTGGGTGTAAAATGTCAGAAATGTACCCATCTGCATTCAAATTACCACTGATCCGAACTAGAGATGTGCGTGTTGTGTACCCAGTGGCTGCCCAAACCATTATAATAGGAGCAGGGCCCCTATGCCAATATCGAATGCAAGCAGGCGATGTGCGGTCTTCTAGGACACTCCAGACACATATGCAACCATCAGAATACTGAATGTAGAACTGGGACTCATTTGAAAAAGCGACGTTGTGCCACTCCTGTACCGAGCTTTGTCATATGGTGCACCATAGTCGCTGTCTCTCTCTATGCTGCGGGAAGGCAAAGTAACCTTGCTGATAGTCCACGCTGCTGCAAACATGACCATTTCCTGACTAATGGTTCACGATGTGGTCATACAGTTTTGCAGAGCTGACCTCACATTATGTCTGTCCTCTCTGGCATTAGACAAGGAAAGATGTAGAAATCCTGCATGTCGTTCAGTATAACCCTCATTAATCCATTGATTTTATATTTACATGACAGTGGTTGAATGTTGACCAGTGTGACCGGGGATATCATGGCAAGATAACCTACACTTTTGATGGGCAATGATCCTGCCTCTATCGAATTTCAAAACTTGCTGGTAAGCATTTCCTCTTGTTATTCGAGGCATAAAACGATATTCGGAGCAAACTCCAACCTTACAAAGCACTTCCCGAATGAGAAATCCACTACACAACTTTTCTTTTATGCAGTGCTTCAGATGTCGTTTCTCCCACCTGTGTCATCTAAATGTGCTGAAAAACTAATCATTTACGTGTCCCAACTTCTTCCTTTCATGTGATTTTGATGTTTGTCAGATCATTCCTTCCTGGTGCTGCAATTTTAATATATTTAGTTTTTGTAAAAATATGATCATCCTTTTTAATGATTATTTGTCATTTTTTAATTTAATAATTAAACACTTTGTTACCAAAAGAACTTACCAGTTTTTTGAATTATTTATTTATTTTTATTTTGTTTTATTATTATTTTTGCAACAGTTGGCCATAGGCATATAATACCAGTTACAAAAATGTTTTAAATGATACAAATATTCATGTTTTGCTATTTTTAAGTTTAAAGAAATCAGGTTTGCAAAAATTGCAAAATATAGCTTTTCATACATTCCTTTGGTTCCTGTGCTTATATATAGGAACATTTTATATTCATTACAAAGTGTTTGATTTCCATGAAATAAAAATTGACTAACATATTTAATTTCAAAATTTGTGATCGTTCAGTTTTCAATGAGGGGTTGATTAATAATAGATTACAAAAATTTGAGGTTGATTCTTCCCCTTAAATGTCATTCAGTGATGTTGTTTTGTAATTTGCTAGTGTCTTTAATTTTTTTATATTTGGTATGCTGAAAGAAATTTCACATGTGTAATTTATAAGTTTTCAAAGTCTAATAATAAATTATTAATATTCTCATAAGTGTTATTACTTTAGAATCATATTCTGGTAACTGTAGAAAAAAATTCCTTGAACTAGAAATATTTTTAATTTCTGCTAATAAGTTTACGAACTGCAGTGTGGCAACATTGAAGCTTGCCAATGTTTTCTAGAACAAGAAATCTGTAAGATTCCATGAATAAGATAGCTTGCTTGAAAAAAATTATATTTATCAATATCTTTCATAAATATATAGAGAGAAATGCTTATTTACTTAATCTGTTAACATAGAAATCTTTTCCTAAACTGATATTTTATTTTCATTTATGTTCACATCCAAACATTTCAATCCACAATTTGGATCCCTAAATATGATCCCTCACTTTACCCAGTTTTTGTCATACAGAAATCAAACTTTTGTATTTTATTTTTTATGACGAGTACAAAATTTTCCCAGATATAAGTATAGGTACTGGGGAAACATAAAAAAGGTGTCATCTTCTATCTTATACACAGTTAATTTTTTTTTTAATCTAAAAATGCAAAAAACTTAAATCATATAAAACTTTTTTTATAATTGGAAGTGTATGTCTACAATTAACAGTTGCAAAATTGAAGGCCAAATATTTGGGACACAGTATATAAATATATTAATGATTATTAATCATTTATACAAAATTTTCTTTTTAGATTTTTATTATGCAGAGATGAAATCTAACTTATTAGAATTTAATTAACAAGGTATTTTATAAAAAACTGAAAAAAAGTGTGGTTTTAATAGATGCAGAATGTATTTACTTAATTCAAATGTTATGTAGAACTTTGAAGATATTTTGTTATTTCTAAGTAATTGTAGTTAAAAAAGGTACAACAATTTTATGTACAGTTATCATTTTTTTCTCTCTCTCTCTTTTTTTTTTCTCCAGGTTTTACAGCTTTTATTACAACCTTTATGGGAAGCTTTTGTAACTATAGACAGAATGTTATTCTTCAGAGAAAATTCAATCTTTGCTGAATGTTTTGCCCTATGGGATGATAAAATATCTCCTCGAAATATTGTACTCTGTGCATATAAAATATGATTTATGCATGCATGTTATTTTAGCCTATTGTTTTGTATATTCATGTACATATAGAAATAAAAATCTTATTTTATATTTTTTTAGTGCATTTTATCTTATAACTAACAGTGTCTATTATAATTTTAGTATTCATGAAAACCTTTTTAAATAATTTTAACAAGAGAAAAATTGAAAAAAAAAAAATTATCAAGAGTTCAGTAATGATTAGTGATTAAAGTTTTTCTTTTTTATTTCATAAATAGTAAATTTTTAATGTGGAACCCTATTGTTTAAAATGTTGTATATTAAATTATTGAAGTACATCAAAAATTTGTATCTTACAATAGGCCTTTAAAGCTTAGCCACATGTATTATTAATAGAAAAAAAAAGTAAAAAGTGTGTATATATATATATATACACACACACACACACACATATATATATATATAGCATAGCTGTATTCTAACATTAGCTTTATTCTGTATGTTTAATATTTGTATTGCATCTATTAAATGATCTTCATATTATCCTTTTGTTTTCATTTATAAAATACAAATATTCTAACATTAGCTTTACTCTGTATGTTTAATATTTGTATTGTATCTATTAAATGACCTTCATATTATCCTTTTGTTTTCATTTATAAAATACAAACAGACTGCCATAGCATATCATTAATTTGGCCACAAGGATGTGTACTGTATTAAATATATTGTAAACAGAAAGTACTTTTGTTTTTTGCACCAAATTTATCTGAAAGTAAAATTTTTTATTTCAGTTGCCAATATCTGCTACTGATACACATGCCTGTCGTAAAAGATTCATGGGATTTGTATATTGAACAAGTTAATTTTTTTCTTAGAAGCTAATAGAACTACCAATCAAAATAAAAAGTTTGCTCCACTACTAGCTTTTTTGTGAAATTAAAATATTAAGCAAAAACAGGCATTATATTAAGTCAACATTTTGCACCAGAAGCTTCTAAAATTTATTAAACATTTCAATTTCTTAAAAAAATACAATGTAATGGTAAAAGTGTAAATGACTGTGTAACCATATAGTGCCATTTAACAAAACATTCTGGTTTTGGGATTCCATTAAATGAGCATTGAGCAAAATCAGTTTGTGAAATTTTAAAGGGATTATTCAAAGACTTCCTCTTTCAGAATTGAAACTTGCTTTAAAAAATGTGGTAACAAAGGCTTATTTTGCAGAAATGGCAGCAAAATTAGCAATATGTAATTGTTTACAGGTAAATTCATTCCCCTTTTCAAAAGATAACTAAATTCAACTAAGTATGTAAATAGTAAAAAAATGAACTAAAAATTCTAATGGCAAAATAAAAGTGATTTTAAGTGTTAAAATGGGCATTTACAATAGCTGGAGGGGCTAGCATGATCGTACAAAGTGTAAATTTCATAGTACCATATATATAATGTCATAAGTGTTAATGAAAGTGTCACATCATCAAGGTTTGTTGTTCTAATATAAATTCTATTAATAAATCTGTTTTTTCATAAATCAAAACAGAATAAGATCCATGAAATAGTTGCAAATTTTAGCAATAATGTAGAATATTCGTAATTTCTATTTGGTAAACTGTTTTACCTTTTAAGGAAAGAGCAGTGATTTTTTTTGGGGAGGAAGGGAAAACGAGTGATATGGAAGTTGATTCAGGATCTTTTTATTTTTTTCTTCAACAAGTTGTTCCCAAAGAAAAAACCAGTTCTTCATATACTTGTTCCATGAAATAATCTGAAATCCAGAGAAATTTAATTCCGTTGAAATATTTCTGTGTAGTAAAATACTTACAAAGACTGTAAAGCTCAACTTCACCTATTAGTTGCAAACACAAAATGTGCAAATATACTAAGCTATGGCTCGTTCTGATCCTTAGAATTTTGTCTAATGGATAGAAATTATCTTAATTCATTTTAGAATGTAATTAAAAATTTCATGATGTTTTTGCCTACACATAGGCTCTCATAAAGGATTTTCGACTGATCTTGCTGTGAATCCAATTCGCTATAAAGCAAGAAAAATTACTTTTTGTTTTGTGCTTTAAAAAATCACCCTCCATCAGTTAAGTGAAAAAAAATTTTATTATTCACTGTGTTGGTAAACAGCAACTTGTTTAATTAAACTATCTCTGTTTTGGTCAACTATCAATTTAATTTGCTGAATGAATTAATCTCATTTTTGAATGAACAAATTTCATGATGTTTTTCCACATATCATAAAATTTTCTTTATCTTGCTGTGAATCCCAAATGAAAAATATTTTCTGTTTATAATCCCCTTCCATCAGTTTTGGGGGTTTGGAAAATTTTCACGTTTTTAAACCTAAATTCTCTAATTTTTATTGCCTTCCTAATTAAATAATTTATTCTAATTATTTATTTGGATTGCCTCAAGTTTGGTTTCAGCTTTCAATTTGTGATAAATTTGAATCTGCTGTAATTCATATAGGGATGCTTAGGAATATGGAATTAAAGTTGCTTCCTGGGTAATTTAAAAATTTCATTGTTTACATGGTTGGCAAACAGGTCTTTATTCCATTTGGTTATATCCTTACTAGAAAGCCTGGCGGTCATATGAAATGACCGCTGTTCTAGATATTATAAATTGTAATTAAAATGATTTGTGCAAAGGTGTCTGCTAATTTAAACTGAATTACCCAGGGCAGGGGGCGAGGACACCTCTTTGCTTACTGCCCCACGGGGTTTCCCCTTCTACTTGCTTAATTGCTTAAAGTAGAGTGCAGTGAAGGAAACCACTGGCGGTACATTTCTTAAGAATAACCACTAGCTCAATAAATAAAGGTGATTTAAATAATGAAATTGTAATTCACATGTCAAAGATCTCTTTGTACACAACTTTGTATAGATCTTTCCATCATTTTTAAGCTTGCTTTGCAGAGGACCATCAATTATTTTTAATTTTCCGTCCGTTCTTTCACGAACTCTTGAACAGGCAACATAAAGTTGACTGTGTCCAAATGAAGGCTCAGGTAAAAAAATGCTAACACGTTTAAGCGTTTGTCCCTGAGACTTATTGATGGTCATAGCAAAAGCAGGTTTTACAGGAAATTGTCTATGTCTCAATTGAAACGGCAACCCTGTGCCATGGCAACTTCACCCCATTGGCTAGTACAGTTACGCAAGCAACCAATAGACTATCGGTGACAAACAGACACTTAAGCCGCACACACATATATAGGGTGAAATAACATCATCTCCTTCGAAACGGCTGGCTCCCGGGCTTAGCCGTGACCTTTGAGAGGGAGAAGGCCATGACACATAATAAACATCGCGGAGCTTTCCGTTCGATGTTATCGTCGGAAAGTCATCTGGATTTTTAAATTTTCGTCGGAAATATAACTTTATCATGTTGCTTAGTTAATTAAAATAGCTGAAAGAAAGGAGGCTTTATATACATTATTTTCACTTTTTAGCTTTTTACAGATATTTTAATTAACTTTGTGCATAAATATAATTGAAAGAACCGAAGAACAAACGAACATTTTACAAAAATTTAAACGCTGATTGAAAATTGCCACTGTCATGATAAATTGAGAAGGGGTTCTTAAGATAATAATTAATATTTTACCTAGGCTCAAGTATTAATTTATTTGCGTTTCAGAGCAAAATATATAACCATCAACTTCTATATCTCCAGCGTATGTAAATGAAATACTATATAAATTAGCTAATAAATGTGATAAAAATATATCATACAAGAAACATACCTAAATCTTATAATAAAAAAGCCTTCTAAAATTCATATTTGAAATGAAATAACCTAACAAACAACATGCACAACTGGCAATAAAAAAAATAATAAGCATATAAATGATAATCCTAATTCCCATTGTCCTAAAATTAAGAAACTAAAAATATGTATATACACCTGCATATGATTGAAAGAAATGGTGATAAGAAACATCAGCATTACTACTAAATATTGTAATCCATAATTATTGCATTTTTAAATCATATAATATTTAAAAAACATTAAATTTTACATTAAGTGCACATTGCAGTTCTGTTATTTTTCTCTTTGAATTTGTAGTATATCTCTTGGTTATGAATACGAATGTTGCAAGTTATGTTTTTAATTATTACATTTGAATACATTCCATTTTCATTGTTAATTTTTGTACACACAAGTGATAGCAATAAAATTCAAGATGAATGGGAAAAAATTTTTTATTGTGTGCTATTTAATGAAGAGCAGATTTAAATGTGCAGTTCTTACTATTGTGTATATTATTCAAATCATTTCTGCCAAGTATACCAGGGAAAGTACCCAAAGGAATGTTATTGATTTGAAAAAATGAATAAAATGGCCGTGAGAACCTGCCATTGTCTAAAACAAGTGTATATAAGTATATATGATGGAAAGAAATGATGTTAAAAATCATCAGCATTGCTACTAATTATTGTACTTTTAACAGCTTGCTATTTAAAAAACACTAAATGATTTTTATTAATTGGAAATAGTAGTATTGTTACTTTTTTCTGGTAACTTTTAAACACTGCATAGTTTATGTGTTTTTTAAAATATTGCCACATACAATAAATATGTCAACATACACTATTTAAAAATATTTAAAACATTTTTTTTGATATTTTGAAATAGTGTGTGTTGTTTGTTAGGTTATCTCATTTCAAATATAAATGTTAGAAAGCTTTTTTTTTTTTCTATACGATTTAGGTATGTAATATTTTTTATCACATTTACTAGCTAAGTTATATAGTATTTCATCTACATACGCCGGAGATATAGAAGTTGATGGTTATATATTTTGATCTTAAACTTGAATAAATTAATACTTGAGCCTAGGTAAAATATTAATCATTATCTTAAGAACCTTTCCCAATTTATCATGATAGTGGCAATTTTCAATTAGCGTTTAAATTTTTGTAAAATGTTCGTTTGTTTTTCGGTTCTTTGAATTATATTTATGCACAAAGTTAATTAAAATATTTGTAAAAAGCTTAAAAAGTATGTATGTGTATAAATCCTCCTTTCTTTCAGCTATTTTAATTAACTTTTTATTAAAGAAAGAAAAGATAAATGCTGTGTCTTTGAATGAAA